CACAACAACACTTTATGAAGGAAGTGCTATTTATATATTCTTGATTGCCCTCGGAATTTTTGGGAAATCTTTACTATCCAAATCATTACCGCATGACAAAATTCAGCTCCATTTGCCTAGCAAATCTTCCTCGGCAAATTTCCAAAGTTTTTGTCCACCTAGAAGCATTGTGAAGGAAGTACCTTTTATATATCTAAATGACATGAAATTTATACAGTTCCTTCATATGCCTAAATTATCACCCTCCTCCAAATTGCAGCTCAGTCAAATCATCTATGTGAGCCCAGGTTCAATTTATATTTTATGGCCAAATTGGCACGTTGCAAAGCAAGTGTTATATAGACCCCTCCTATTACCCTCAAACTTTTCGGGCACTCTTCCATACCCAAATCATTGCGACATGATAATATTCAGCTCAATTTTCCTAGTAAATCTTTCTCAGGAAATTTCCAAAGTTTCTACCTCGAGAGAAGCTTTGTGAAGTAAGTACTAGCTAGGCTTACCCAAATGATCTGAAAATTTACCAGCGCATGACCATACCTATGTAACTTACCTACACCAAATTTTAGCTCATTTCATTCATCCAATCTCTCTCACTAGTTTTCCCAAGTTTTTGTCCATAGAAGAGCATTGTGAAGGAAGTACTACTTTGGCATGTCAAAATGATATCAATTTTCTACAATACTTTCCTATGCCCAAATAACCATCCTCCACCAAATTTCAGCTCAATCCATTCATTATTTTGAGCCCAGCTTCAACATTCATATTTTTGTCCAGTGTGGTACTTTGCAAAGCAAGTACCACCTAGGATCCTCCTTTTGAGCTGAAAATTTGTGAATACATTCTCCTTAGTAGATGATCATCCTCGGCCAAAACTCACGCTCATTGGCCATGTGCATTTCCCGTACCGCTAATCAAACACTTGGCTGCTTATTCATGTTTGAGTATCGATCGGTCTCCTCTTGAGAATCTTATGTTGTCATTTTCTTCCTAGCACCTACCTGGGGAGTGCCCAACCCACTAGACATGCCTAGGCCGCCTAGAACACATGGCAACGCCACGGCCACGCGGTGACCACGCGGCGGGCATGCGAGTTTACGCGCTCTAGAGTTGGGGGCCTCGGCCACCGCCCAAACCTCGACGTATCGCCACCAAACCATGTATTTATGATTAAATAGGTACTTATGTAACTAGAAATGATTTTTGGAAAAAATAAATAGCAAACTATGAGGCAGTTGCAGTTCAAATTTGACCCGCTTCCACCTGAATCGGCGGAAATTTGTCTTTTTCACGAGAGATGGATCAAAACTTTTTACACCCAACCATTTTGTCAATTGTGCATTAAATATGCCCTAGTATTTTAGAAAATTGATTTGGTCCAATTTTGCAACAATTATTTGGGAGGTCCTTCACAAAAAAACTCATTTTGGGCACTCGGAAAAATGGAAAATGAATTTTTCGTCCAAAGAAAATGAAAACTTCCTTAGGCAACATTGTTAGCCATTCCAAGACGCACCCTTGTGCACAATATGAGATCATTTGAACAAACTATGCCATGAATGCGGCCATAAGATTGATCATTTGGCTTGAAAGCCATTGATCTCCACACGTGATAGCTCGTTTTTGAGAACACTTTTTTAAAATAATTACCGTATTACAAGTTTGTTATTTTTCCTAGGAACTTGGCCACATATAACGACACATTGCGAAGGTTTCCCAATTTTTGGATTTTTTTTTGAATTTTTTATGCCCGTTTCAAAATGCGGACAAAACGGCAGGAATGGTCGTTCCTAGCTAGTGGTTGAATCTTGGAATTTCTTTGGCGTTTCTCTGATTAAATAGATACTTATGTATCTATAAATGATTTTTGGAAAAACTAAAGAGCAAACTATAAGGCAGTTACAGTTCAAATTTGACCCGCTTCCAGCTGAATCGGTGAAAATTTGTCTTTTTCACGAGAGGAGGATCAAAACTTTTTACACCCAATCATTTTGTCAATTGTGCATTAAATATGTCCTAGTATTTTATAAAATTGATTCGGTCCAATTTTGCAGCAATTATTTGGGAGGTCCTTCACAAAAAAACCTCCTTTTGGGCACTCGAAAAATGGAACATGGTTTTTTGTCCAAAGAAAATGAAAACTTCCTTAGGCAACATTGTTTGCCATTTCAATATGCACCCTTGTGCACAATATGAGATCATTTTAACAAACTATGCCATGAATGTGGCCATAAGATTGATCATTTGGCTTGAAAGCCATTGATCTCCACACGTGATAGCTCGTTTCTGAGAACACTTTTTTAAAATAATTAACGCATTACAAGTTTGTTATTTTTCCTAGGAACTTGGCCACATATAATCACACAATGCGAAGGTTTCCCAATTTTTTGATTTTTTTTGAATTTTTTATGCCCGTTTCAAAATACAGTCAAAACGGCGGGAATGACCGTTCCTAGCTAGTGGTTGAATCTTGGAATTTTTTTGGTGTTTCTATGATTAAATAGATACTTATGTACCTAGAAATGATTTTTGGAAAAAATAAAGAGCAAACTACAAGGCAGCTACAGTTCAAATTTGACCCGCTTCTAGCTGAATCGGCGGAAATTTGTCATTTTCACGAGAGGTGCATCAAAACTTCTGACACCCAACCATTTGGTCAATTGTGCATTAAATATGTCCTACTATTTTAAAAAATTGACTTGGTACAATTTTTCAACAAATATATGGTAGGCCCTTCACAAAAAAAATCTCTTTTTGGGCACTCGAAAAATGGAAAATGAATTTTTTGTCCAAAGAAAATGAAAACTTCCTTATGCAACATTGTTTGTCATTCCAATATGCACCCTTGTGCACAATATGAGATCATTTGAACAAACCATGCCATGTATGTGGCCATAAGATTGAGCATTTGGGTTGAAAGCCATTCATCTTCACACTTGATAGCTCGTTTCTGAGAACACTTTTTTTAAATATTCGCCGTATTACAAGTTTATAATTTTTCCTGGTAACTTGGTCACATATAATGACGCAATGCGAAGGTTTTCCAATTTTTTGAATTTTTTTGAATTTTTTATGCCCGTTTCAAAATGCGGTCAAAACGGCGGGAATGTCCGTTCCTAGCTAGTGGTTGAATCTTGGAATTTTTTTTGGTGTTTCTCTGATTACATAGATACTTATGTACCTAGAAATGATTTTTGGAAAAAATAAATAGCAAACTATGAGGCACCCGCAGTTCAAATTTGACCCGCTTCCAATTGAATCGGCGACAATTTGTCTTTTTCACCAGAGGTGGATCAAGGCTTTTGACACCCAACCATTTTGTCAATTGTGTAAATATGTCCTAGTATTTTAGAAAAATGATTTGGTCCAATTTTGCAACAATTATTTGGGAGGTCCTTCACAAAAAAACCTCCTTTTGGGCACTCGAAAAATGGAAAATGGTTTTTTCATCCAAAGAAAATGAAAACTTCCTTAGGCAACATTGTTTGCCATTCCAATATGCACCCTTGTGCACAATATGAGATGATTTAAACAAACTATGCCATGAATATGGCCATAAGATTGATCATTTGGTTTGAAAGCAATTGATCTCCACACGTGATAGCTCGTTTCTGCGAACACTTTTTTAAAATAATTGCCGTATTACAAGTTTGTTATTTTTGCTGCTAACTTGGCCACATATAATGACACAATGCGAAGGTTTCCCAATTTTTAGATTTTTTTAAATATTTTATGCCCGTTTCAAAATGCGGTCAAAACAGCGGGAATGACCATTCCTAGCTAGTGGTTGAATCTTGGAATTTTTTTGGTGTTTCTCTGATTAAATAGATACTTATGTACCTATAAATGATTTTTGGAAAAAATAAATAGCAAACTATGAGGCACCTGCAGTTCAAATTTGACCCGTTTCCAGCTTAATCGGCGGAGATTTGTCTTTTTCACCAGAGATGGATCAAGGCTTTTGACACCCAACCATTTTGTCAATTGTGCATTAAATATGTCCTAGTATTTTAGAAAATTGATTTGGTCCAATTTTGCAACAAATATATGGTAGGTCCTTCACAAAAAAAACTCATTTCGGGCACTCGGAAAATGGAAATTGTTTTTTTTGCCAAAAAACTCATTTCTCATGACATATTTTTAAAGATATTTATCTTATTTCATGTTTGTTACTTTTCCTGAAAACTTATTCACATTTGGTGACACAATGAGAATGTTTTTCATTTTCTTTTTGAATTTTCTCAGGTCATAAAATAGCTGATATGATTTTAACACTCTAGTTTTAGTCAACTACGACCAATTTAAATGGTCATAACGTGGTACTGCATTTTGATTGGTCCATGGACGTCTCACGCGGATCGTGCCTGGAACACCGTCGGATGCTCGCGGATCCAACGACAGTCCTTGGCCCACCACACCAACCCCAAGCCCACCTAAGCCGAAACCCTAGCTCTACTCGTGGACGTTTTCCATCCACCCCCGCCCGCTTTCTTTCTCTGCCTCCTTTCTTTCTCTGCTCCTCGTTCCCTCACGCACCCACAATCCCTCCCCCGAAAACCTTGCTGCCACCACCTACGCCTCTTGTTCCGGCGTGTTCCGGCGGGCCTCGCCGGTGTGCAGCCTAGATCCGAGCTCCCCTGCCTCCGCTCTTCCCTCCCCTCCGGCCAGATCCGCCTCTTGCGTCCCCGGTAGCTCATCCCCAACCCCTTCCCACGACTAGGATTTCAAGGGTGACGTTCCGACCAATTCCGGCGCGACGGCGGTGACTGTGCTCCGCCCTCTTTGACGCCCACCAATCTAGCCGCACGGCACGGCCATGGCCATGGCGGCGGCCAGATCCACCCCATCCCTCATCTCCTCGCTGCGGCCACCTCCTCCCCATCCTACAACGGCGCGTCCCGCCACCACCTCCTTCCTCGATGCATCCCGCAGCGACACCCATCGCGTCCCGGAGCTGGACGACGGCGCAGTGGAGAGGGAGCCGGCGGCAGCATCGCGCGATGGCAGGTGACGAGTCCTCATCTTTTCCTTGGTCCTCTCTGCTCACTCCCTCGTTCCATCTGATTCGATTCACTGAATCGGTTGCCTGCCACTGACAGGTGCGTCGAGCGGGATCAGTGCAGAGACGGCGCGCGGTGCCCACGTCGTCATGGCCGTTCGCAACCTCGCCGCCGCAGAGGCTGTTCGCCAGGCCGTCCTCGTCGAGACCCCCGGCGCGAGCGTGGAGGTGATGGAGCTGGACCTCTCCTCGTTGGCATCTGTCCGCAAGTTCGCACCGACTTCGCCGCCAGTGGCCTCCCGCTCAACATCCTCATGTAAGGCAGCCCTACTTCTCGCTTCTACTAGTCCCAATCATGCGAAAAGCACTTGATAACTTGATAGTTGAGGTTCAGTCAGGAGTTGTCAAGACGAGGTTCAGGTTCAGTCCCATCGCGATTTCTTGGGACCATTCATTCAGGTTCAGGTTCAGGTTCAGTTAGGAGCTGTCTGTCGGCCATTAAATTCTAAGAAAACTCTGCATCATGAGTAGTAGGTAGCAGAACAGCGACATGGCCGTATCACTTTGGCTGCAACTTGATACTTTCAGTCAACATTGAGCAGATTTAATTCATTCCTGGGTTTCTTTTCAACTTCAACTTGGACTATAACATGCTGCTAGGTGGAATATAAATGCTGCAACACTTAGTAGATCATGGACAGTATGGAAGTTCACAGGGTGGGAAAAAATGGCATGGGTGGTTGCATCTGCACTGGTCCTGTCGGGAGACCACACATGCATCATATTGCTCTTGAATCTAGTTGCGCCCTTTCTTCCTAAAAGATGACATTCTTCTTAGTCGATATAATCCATTTATATAAATAGGCATATTAATTGGCCTATGCATTTGGCAGATATAGTAGTGTTTGTACTAACAGACTGAGCACAAACATTATTTGTTAAGAGGGCCCTGCAGTTATATTTTGGCTGCCTTTTGCTCCTTCATTTTTGTGTGTTTGAAAATCAATACAGCTGACATGCTTTACTTCTTTTACGTGCAGTGATTGCTAAAAATGACAGGGATGATATCCACCGCCAAGAATGATGCATAGCTTAACTGCTGTCATAGTCGATTTCGAACAGGGAATACCTTTCTAGACTCCAACCTTCACAGTTCTTGTTGATTCATCTTGCTAGCAACTGAGTAGCTTTTTTGCATACTTCTGTCAACATCTCAATGCCACCAAATGTTTTTTGCCATTCTTCTCTGTTATACAACATCTGTTATACATCATACAATGACGAGCTCCGCATACACCAACCATTGTACAAACATATCATTATTAGTAGGAAATTTTTGAACCTGCAGTATGTCACCTTGTTTTCTAGATGGGCAATAGACGCCATCGTACTATACTGTAATAGTGTCTTATTGGGTGTTTTGCTTTGTACAATGCTTGCACTGGAAATGTTGAACGATCGAGGCAATAGACGCCGTCGTACTGTACTGTAATAGTGTCTTATTGGGTCTTAATTTGTTTTTCTTTGTACAATGCTTGCACTGGAAATGTTGAACGATCGAGCCTCCTATACTCTGTTCTGTTGTATGATTACAATTGCATTAGTATTATTGGATCTGTTAATCAGTGCCTACATGTTAGATCGGCTTGATTTTGAGATGCGGCGAGACTGATGTTTCTGAATTTTGATGTGAAAGCATGTCTACATCAGTAAAACTTTGCATGCATATTTTATTGACTAGATATATACGTGTTGACTGTCTGTTCCTCTAGTTTTCTGATGTGCATGTGTATTTGGATCCACTGAACCTTTGCATGGCTTATCTTTCAAGTTTGTATATAGATAGACAGGTTTTCTGAAAGTGTGACCCCACAGTATTGAGAAGTAATTAAGTTTCCTGTAGTTTTTACAGGAACCACGACCACCGGCTCAACGCCGACCCGACCGTCCTCATCGCCTTGTAGGACGACGAGGACGCCGTAGGCGCGGTCGGCCTCGGCGGCGGCTTCCACCACTACCATGTCATCGTCACCTACCAGGTCCACGACGGTGTCTGGGCCGTCGAGTCCTTCTGCAGCTGCTGCCGCTGCTCCTTCCACAGCTTGGGTGGGACTCGTCGGATTGGCCTCCTAGTTTCCCATTTCAGGTAGTACATCCTTCTTGCTCGAATCTACTATTTGATCTGCCTGCACATCTCCCGCTCCGGCGCATAATTGATGGGTCTTCCTGGATTCTTGTGTAATGAGCTCTTGTTTTTAGTACTTCTGTAATGGTATTCAGAAATAAAATTCATATGTTTCTATATATGTTCTTTTAGATTAGTATGTCAATACATAACTAGTAATGCAAATGGTGTGACCCAGTTCTAAATATAAATGCAAATAGCTTGTGAATGTCAATCTCATGTATCAGGGTCCTGTTCTTGTAAACCTTATGTAAAGCTAAAATTCTTGCTGTGTAGGGTGACTAGTGATGCAGCACACCAAGCAGTAGCAGGGGGAGGGGCTCTCTTGAACGTCGCCGCTGCCACTCATTGCTACTGTCACTGATTGATGATGGATGATCGCTGTTAGTTTAGCTCGGTCGATGTTCGTTTAGCTCCTTGGTAGTCCCTACTGCTGCTGGTAGAAATAGAAATGGTAGCTGTAGTCCCATGTAGTTGTAGTACCATGTAGTTCCTCTACTCGGGCTGCCCTTTGTTGCTTCATTCCTATGTTAATTTAGTCCGTTGAATGTATCTACTATCTACTTTGTGGCTGTGGCTGTTGAAAGAAATAAAATGGTTTGGATACATGCGTACATGCTGATATGTCAAGCTGGAATAGCTGTCCTTGTGATGTCAAGCTTCTAAATGTATGTTGTGGAGGCCCAAAATAAATTGGGCTATAAAAGGGCTGAAGCCCAAAAAAGAAATGAATTATAGAAGGCCACGTCCTAGAAAATAACATGGGCTAGGCCCATGTAGCTAGCGAAAATTAACAGAAAAATATATATTGAAAAGGCCGAATTGTTGGGCTAGGCCCATGTAGAAAACCGAATTGGACCGGGCTGAATCTTGTGCCACATCATCTTGCCACGCTGGATGCCTACGTGGCCTGGGGAGGTTGCTAGTGACCAAAACGCCATAGTAGACGTATTTTGGTCATAAACGTCTACGACCATTCCAGAAGAAAGGTCGCTATAGTCAGTTTATGACGGCCAACTTTTGACCTTATGTTTTTGGTCACAAAAAGGTCACAAATGGAAATTTGTGACCATTCAGTGACCAATAGTGGTGGTCACAAGTTGACATATTTCTTGTAGTGATCGGCGCCCAATCAGATTTGATAGGCACGGATGCCGGCGGTTCGGAGCCCGTGGCCGGGGTCGAATACGAGGATCCGGTCACACGGGTCTTACAGGAAGTGAGGTTAGTACCCGGCTCTATCGCCGATGAGTGTGCGGCCTCCGTGGCGGGGTCCATCCACCCGTCCTCGGACGATGCAATTTTCTCCGGATTGAAAGCCGGAGTAGCCACAGATGCGATCTCTCAAACACCGTCCAGCAGCAGAGTTAGGTCATGCTCGTCGTGACCGTGCGGCGCACCTGACATAGGCTCGAATCCGTCAAAGATCGAGTCTCCACAGATGTCGGCAGTGTAGTTTAAGCTTCCAAACTTGACCTGATGGTCAGGGGCGTAGCTTTCGATCTGCTCTAGACGGCCAAGCGAGTTGGCCCGCTGATCAAAGCCGCCGGATATGAGGATCTGTCCGGGGAGGGAATCCTTGCCCCAGACCGCATTGCTATCGATGATTGAAGGAGCCATCAAGCCTTTATCGCGACGACACAGTGGAACTCTCAATGAAAGCACCAATGTCGGTGTCAAAACCGGCGGATCTCGGGTAGGGGGTCCCGAACTGTGCGTCTAATGCGGATGGTAACAGGAGGCGGGGGACACGATGTTTACCCAGGTTCGGGCCCTCTCGACGGAGGTAATACCCTACTTCCTGCTTGATTGATCTTGATGATATGAGTATTACAAAGAGTTGATCTACCACGAGATCGTAGAGGCTAAACCCTAGAAGCTAGCCTATGGTATGATTGTTCTTGTCCTAAAGACTAAACCCTCCGGTTTATATAGACACCGGAGGGGGCTAGGGTTACACAGAGTTGGTTACAATGGGAGGAGATCTCCATATCCGTATCGCCAAGCTTGCCTTCCACGCCAAGGAGAGTCCCATCCGGACACGGGACGAAGTCTTCAATCTTGTATCTTCATAGTCCAACAGTCCGGCCAAAGGATATAGTCCGGCTGTCTGGATACCCCCTAATCTAGGACTCCCTCAGAGATCAAGGTGTCACTCCGGTGACGATGGTGATCATGACGGTGCTTTGGAGATGGACATCAAAGGCACAAGATGATGATGGCCATATCATATCACTTATATTGATTGCATGTGATGTTTATCCTTTATGCATCTTATTCTGCTTTGATTGACGGTAGCATTATAAGATGGTCTCTCACTAAATTTCAAGGTATAAGTGTTCTCCCTGAGTATGCACCGTTGTGAAAGTTCGTCGTGCCGAGACACTACGTGATGATCGGGGTTGATAAGCTCTACGTTCAAATACAACGGGTGTAAGCCAGTTTTGCACATGCAGAATACTCGGGTTAAACTTGATGAGCCTATAATATGCAGATATGGCCTCGGAACACTGAGACCGAAAGGTCGGCGTGAATCATATAGTAGATATGATCAACATAGTGATGTTCACCATTGAAAACTACTCCATCTCACGTGATGATCAGACATGGTTTAGTTGATATGGATCACGTGATCACTTAGATGATTAGAGGGATGTCTATCTAAGTGGGAGTTCTTAAGTAATATGATTAATTGAACTTTAATTTATTATGAACTTAGTACCTGATAGTATTTTTCTTGTCTATGTTGTTGTAGATAGATGGCCCGTGCTGTTGTTCCGTTGAATTTTAATGCGTTCCTTGAGAAAGCAAAGTTGAAAGATGATGGTAGCAATTACACGGACTGGGTCCGTAACTTGAGGATTGTCCTCATTGCTGCACAGAAGAATTACGTCCTGGAAGCACCTCTGGGTGCCAGGCCTGCTGCAGATGCAACTGACGACGTTAAGAATGTTTGGCAGAGCAAAGCTGATGACTACTCGATAGTTCAGTGTGCCATGCTTTACAGCTTAGAACCGAGACTTCAACGACGTTTTGAACGTCATGGAGCATATGAGATGTTCCAGGAGTTGAAGTTAATATTTCAAGCAAATGCCCGGATTGAGAGATGTGAAGTCTCCAATAAGTTCTACAACTGTAAGATGGAGGAGAATAGTTCTGTCAGTGAACATATACTCAAAATGTTTGG